CATATTTAAACTTACCAGATGAAGTAGGCAAGGTTTCAGATCTGCTTAAAAAAAGAAAATAATTATTCTACTTTAACTTAACAAATATGATTTTACAAGGTTGGCTTTAGTCAATCTGCCCTCTCAGGTAAAATTAAAATTGCTGTCCATATATCTTCATTCCTTAATCCACTGTTGGCTTACAGTACGGTTAAGTGTTCTCGAAATCCTATATAAGTATATGATCACTGGTGATGAGTAAATAACCACTATACCATAATACCATACATATAATAAACGGGGGGGGGGGTCACTGTTATTAAAATAAAAACAATGTTGCCCGGGGTCATTGTTATTACAATAAAAACAATGTTGCCCTCGGCAACTTACCACTCCAGGCAGAGGAAGAGTCGATCAAAACTGGATAATACTACTTTTTTTTTAGTAACTGCTATAACTGTTATGAATATGGATATTGTATCCAATAATTTTAGTGAAAAATTATTTAGCAGAAAAATAATTTCACAGCTTTCGGATGAAAAACGAAAATTGAAAATTCTCACGTGAATATTGTCCTATACTTTGTATAGAGTTTTTGGTTAAGCAAAGGAGTTCTTGATAATATTTCATTATCAGGAAGATATTCCCATTCTCGAAGAAGTGTCACTCACTTTTTCATTCGTGTATCTAAACTTATCTGATAAAACCTTAGTTGTTCGTTGTATCTCAGTAATTTCCACTGAATTATTCGTTGTCATAGCAAAGATTTACATATACAGTTCAATCTGATATTTTGACATCATAGCACGTTCATATATTGTCTGTATAAACGCAAGCACACGTGTCGTATTTAGAATACATCTTGATTATTAAAAATTAATACATTTATTGTACCAAGATATATCAAGTGATAAACTAATACACCGTAGTTTCAAAATGAAACGTGGATGAATTGGAAATTTAGAAATTTGAAATTGTTTTTAATATCGAACGTCTAATAGCCAAAAGGTCTACTTTAAAAACAAACGCTATGTTCATACTACATGAATCAGTTGATAATTAAAATAATATTCTACCATTTGATGATAAAAACTGGCAAGAAAAGAACCTATCACCATTCACATCAATGAATATCATACCCTAGAAAGTAATTTGATCACACTATAATTACATACAATTCAAAGCTAAAGTAGTAGCGTAAGGAAAAAGAGTAAGAAATATTATCCACAGATTGACATGAGAGTTATTTTCAAATCACAGATAAAAATTCGGGATTTTTAAGAGTTAAAAGTCCTCGATATGAACGAGGTTATATAGATTCAACAATTAAAACTCGTGAAACACGCATTAAAGAACACATAACTATAGCAAACGAAACGAAATCTAACCACATGCTCGAACACCGGTAGACAACCAATATTTTAAGATAATAGATGTAGTTTGAATGAAGAAACCCTTCGATTCAAGGAATCCTTTATACATGAAACTACTTTAACCAAGTCTGAACGTGTATCACTTTTGGTTCAGTATAAAATACAAGCGTTGTGGTCAAACCGAATAGATATACAGTAGTATAACATTAACTTACTAGTTTCTCTTGTGCTTAATGTCCGATACTGAAATTGGGTTTTGGGGTAGGATACTTGTGGGGGAGAGGGTTTATGTCTGCGGGTTGGTCCCCTTTCGTGAGCACAACATGTATACAGCAAACTGTTCCCACAGGAAGATACAGATGTGCCTCCTGTCAGCAAGCAATAAAGAGAAAAGGAACAACGTTGGTGAGATCCATTATAAAAGCATGTTTCTTCCGAAGTACTCCTCCTGGTGGCCTTATCTGAAAACAAAAATTGTGACATTATTACCTGTTACCTATTAATTTATTAAAAAAAAAACAGGTTATTTTCGTGAGATTAAACAAATATCTTAACCATAATAAAAATATACACTTCACTTACATGGATAGCGGTGATAGCCTCTCTGACCATCTGCGCATAACCAGATCATACAGTTCATCAGTATAAACCACTTACAAGGTAAACAGTGACCAACAAATGACCCGAGACGCATCGCCGATCACAACTTTGGGAAGAGGTTCATTTCACAAAAAGTATGTCCTATAGGAGAAGAAAAATACGTAGTATAATTGACAGCATCTTTTGAATTAGTAAGTATCTGGTAACTTAAACCTAACCAAAAGTTGTTGTATTCACGTTAGCTATTTATCACATTACACTTACAAACAGCTTGCACAACTAACAATACAATCTAAAATTACAAAAAGAAAAAACAATAAACACCAAAGTAAGGGTTCGAACTGATAGATTCTCGTGGTTCTTTTTTTTATTTAATTGCAACACTCACGTAGTGCATATAAATTCTAACCTAATATTTTTTACTAATGTCTGCTCAAACGTAGTCGTTTTAGGATGAAGAATTCACGGTCTGATAATCTAATAAATTTTTAAAGCCAGATTCGCTGGGTTAACGGTATCCAACTTTTTTAGGCCGTTTATTCCCAGTCTGACCATTGAGCTAGTGACGTGTCACAACGCATATAATCTGTTGAAATAACTTGAAAGTTGTCTATATTATTGAAAAGGTAAATCAAGAGAAATAACTTATGGGGGAGTCTTGCACGTGAACGTTGAGTCCTGGCTAGTGGAATACACTATCCTACCAAAAGTTGTGGGATACACCTCTGTTTGTAGAAAAATGGGCGTGATGATGAAATATGCAAATAGTTTGGCCTATAAAGGGGATCAGCGGTTCGCTCGGGAGTCATATCGGACTTGTACGCCGAACGATGGGTACGCGGAAAGAGCTGAGCGAGTTTTAGAGAGGAAGGATAGGTGGATGTCATTTGGGGAAAATGTCCATACGCGCTATTTTACAACAATTAAACGTTCTCAGGTCGACAGTTGGCAACGTGCTGAAGAAATGGAAGTCCACAGATGACAATGAGCTCAAGAAACGACCAGGCAGGCGTAAAATACTGACTGACAGGAGATGACGCGCCTTGAGAAAGCTGGTTACCTCATCTCGCAGTCAGACCCTGGATAATCTGTGTTTGGAGATGCGAGCAGCCACAGGCAATTCTATAAGTGTTTCCACGACACGTCTAGAGTTGCATGCCATGAGTTTTCACGGATGAGCTGCATCCCACAAGCCGTTGATAACAAAAACAAACCGTCAATTGGCATGGGGCAAGGCACACAGAACCTAGACCGTGGATCAATGGAAATCGGTCCTGTGGAGTGATGAGTCATGCTACACGCTCTTCCAGTCTGATGGACGTGTTTGGGTATGGAGGATGCCTGGAGAACGCTTATTACCT